ACTCCCCTTCCCCCCACTCTCTCACTACCCCTTCCCTGTATTCCTTGTTGCCGGTTTTGCTTTTATCAGTCTTATGTAACTACTTGTAGTCGAGTTCAAGTCTCGTTGTCTCCAACAAATAGGTTTTCTTTTGTAATAGAATCTCTCTTCTTCGATCAGTTTCTTGTTGTTATGGTCGTCGTGTGATAGTGTTGCTTTCTCTGTCGTCACCTTTTCTTCATCGACGGGTGTAGTCTCCTTCTCGTTGGCACATGGTTGTTGCAACTACTGAATACCAGTGCTTTGTCAGTGACCTGGCGTGGGCCACCGACGATCAGGAACTGCAAAATGTCTTCCGACAGTGCGGGATTGCGAGGTGATCTCGGATGGCGAGACTGACAGATCTAGGGGCTTCGGCTTTGTCACCTTCGCTGACGAGAAGTCCATGAACAAGGCCATCAGTACGATGAATGGAGCAGAGTTGGCTAACAAGTTGATCACTGGTAACCAAGCTCAAGCAAGTGGTAACCAAGGTGGCGATGGCAGCTACGGTGGAAGTTTTGGCTCGCATGGTGGGGGCAGTCGCTATGGCGGCGTCGGTGATCGTTATGATAGTGGTTACCATTACAATGGCTGCGAAGGCAGCGGCGGGTACAACGATGGCGGGTACGGCAGTGGTAGCAACGATGGGTGAAACGATGGCGGTTACGGCAGTGGCGGCTACGGCAACCGCCCACGAGGCGGGGGATACAAGACTTCTCCCGCCTCTTTGTTGATCGGCCCGTCTGAAAGGAACGTGACCGGGGAGAGGTTTGTGGGGGCGAGAGTTGTTTGATGCTTTCCCCAATATTGCTCTCTTTCTTGCCCATGTTTGTCTAGGCCCATCTGAACCGTCGTGCCTTAGGCATACCCTGCCTGTCTGGAACTGGGCCCGAACTGGGGCCCGTATGGCTCAGAATGCCACACACACTGTGGGGCTCTTCCACTTCGTAGTTCCAAGAAGGAAATAATAATTAAAAAAATTCGACATCATACGAATTTGGGGGCTCGTGCTTGGGGCACCAATTGCAATAGGAAGGATACAGTGAAGATTAGCATGGGGTTCGTGCTTGGGGCACCAATTACAATTGAAATGATACAGAGAAGATTAGCATGGCCCTTACACAAAGGGTGAAACTCATAAATTGAGCAATGATCCAATATGGGGGTTCACAGCACCTCTCGCCAAAGACCAGCGTTTTGAATGTCTTGAGACCATTGTCAGGTTCCAATACATTCCGAATGTTGGAATAACGTGCATATGAGTTGGTGGGTGTTGAATAGGCGTAAGTGTAGTCTGGATGAGTCCTACTACCAAGTAGAGAGCCACATACGTGAGGAAACTTGTACAGGCCTTGTACTGTACGTGCAAGGAATCGGGTCCAGCATCCCCTTATGTACACCCTACGAGCGACTGCAAACAAAGGTCACCTAACTGGTAACCCGGATTCCAGGGGCAACAGACCCCGGGCCCCAGCTGCCGATGCCCTCCTGTTCAGCGTTTGACTGAGACTGCGTCCTGTAATGATACTTTTTGTAGCGTTCCAGCAGCTGGAACGAGTTTTAAAGATTTGTGGCCAACAAAGTTTATCTGGTAGGGTGTTTGTCCCATCCTTTTTGCAAGAGTTCTCAAATTGATTGTGACAACTTACTTTGTCAGGCTATGTTGTTGTGCTACTCCTTAAAAACAACAGGCTGATTTCTAGGAGCATTCTCTACTTCCAGCAGTTAGATTTGCAGATATGACCTCTACGCTCGTTTTATTTCTCCCCATGTTATGGTCACCCTTATTTCAAAGGTCTAAAAAATTGCTTCTGATTTGTGATCGTTGTAGAGTAGATTAGGCAATTTGCTCACCGCCTCTAGTACCTTTGTTGGTTCGGAAAATAGTGCGTCTCCGACCTTTCAGGAGGCTGAAACGAAACGAAGGCCGCCGATCAGATTTATCAACGGCAGCCGTTGTCGGGTCCGGCCTCCTAAAAGTTCAGGAGTTGGCAAAAACTTATTGAAACCGGACGCCAAAGGTTTAAGGGGAAGATTAAGCACCTCACCTAGTTAGTGTTTTGAGCAACATATTTTATTATTTGCATTGCTTTTTGTGGAATTAGTGTGAGGCTTAGGAGGTCAAGTATGACATGCAAGTTGTGGAGGTTGAACACACAGTTGTTAATCCGTCGCAGCTATGTAGGTTGAACAGGGTCAAACACACAGTTGTTAATATGACTTCATGACCTTGGGACAGTCAAGAATGGCTATATGGCTATAGGGCTGGATGGCATTGTCTTTTGTTGTTAATCAGGCATTCTCCTTCTTTTGAGCATGAAAAATTTGGTAGGATTATAACACATGGTGTTTTGTGTGTGCAGGTTGTATGTATGTCAGGTTATGTGTTAGTCTATTTGTGCGTAAGTTTTGTTTTTTGCAGACTCTTAGAAAAGACTGTGGCAGTACGGAAGCAGCGCTTTCGCTGCACATTTGAGGTGTGAACTGCAATTGCAGTGCAATTGCAGGGTGTTTCTAGGTGAGTTCTCTCATGCCGTCTTTTACAGTTTACTTCACTTTTGGTCTGCTCCTCTCACAGTTAACCTGATGAGCGTGCTATAGCTATATTCAAGTCCACGTCTAGTTGAAGGGGTCTTAACTGTGTGCATGACCCTTGTGTGTGTTATTAACTATGTGTCCACATCGAATGTGTTCACCTGTGGGCCCGCTTGCCTGTTTTTCATGTGCTTCATTGCCTTGCTGCTTGGCTTGATGACCTCTTACATGCTTGCTCTATGCATTGTTGTTATACTGCCATGTCCATGTGATTGACCTTCATGTGCTTGAGCAGTACTACGTACCCATCTACATCCACAATAGACATGACAAAAAGATTTTTGATCGTTCCTCATCCTTCAAGGAGATACCCAACACCATTTTGAAACGGTTTCACCCAGTTTGCATGACGATTGCAGATCCCAGGGCTAGATCCCTGAATCTAACCCTGATACCTTGTACAGTGTCTGTTGACCCCATGTGCTTTGGCAACCTGGCCCAACAGTCGTCTGTCAGCAGTGTGTGTGTACTGTCTGGTCGTGTGGACTTGAACTCGTGAGTGTTAGTTTTAGCAGTCCTAGGGTCTGTCGCATAAGTTAGCTCTGAGTCTTATGACGGGTCAGTTAGTCTAGGCCTAGGAGTTTCTGAAAGTCGGTAGTTGGCTCTTCGACACTGTAGATGTCAATTGTTCGTAGGTGAGTCAGCAAAGGGTAATCCAGTCCTTGCATAGTCAGCAGTCCCAGTGCCTAGTCCCAGTCTACTTCGTCCAGTCGGCAAGTATGAGGTGGGAAAGCACAATCCTTGGGCCTGGGCTCAAAGGCAGGCCAGACCCTCGACGAAACAGTATTAATAAAAAGGCATCGCCCAACCATTCATTCATTTTGCAAGTCACGTGGAAGCGCTGCTTAAGTGTCTTGTGCGTTGGAGGTCTGCAGATGCCCGAAGACGAAGTGGGCAGGAAGGAGGAGACAATGGTCATAACCGCCAGGTAGAAGACAATAGGAGGGAAATGGCGGCCATAGCCTTCAGGTTGAAGACAATAGGAGGGAGATGGCGGTCATAGCCGCCAGTGTTGAGCAATCACAGTGTGTGTGTGTGTGTGTGTGTGTGTGTGGTGTATGAGTGGACATTCAGGGTAGATCCTAGTGCGTGTGAACATATGTGTGAGTGAGTGTGAAGTGTCTGATGGTGGATACAATGTTCGGGTGGAAATTCAGACAGCGTCCAGGGCCCATAGTCGCACGTTGTGAGAGTTGACTTCAAATGAGTTCCTGGTCAGAGACCATATCTCTGAGTTTTCTGTGTGGGCGCCGAGCACCATCTCACGCTTATTGCTGATTCTACGTTTGAGAGAGTTCCTTTGCCATCGACATCTATATGTATGCATGTTGGAAGTGGAGTTGATGTCGAGTCTGATTCCAATTTGTGGTTAAACAAGCAAAGCGGGTGTCTTTTTCCTAACAGTCTTTCTATAGGTCCATAATTGAGGAATGTACTCACCCACCAGCAATCGTAGTGGATAGCTAGAAACAAAAAAGAAGTGTGCTTTTCCACTTGTGTCGTTCTCTAGTGCATATCAAGTGAACAACTAGTGAATAGCTAGTGGATAGTCAGTGAGTGTCGCAGGTAAGTACTGCCGATGCGGATATGGCCTCCACCCCGGTGAGTTGTTCTATGTTTTGAAGTCATCCTAGTGGATATAAAATGCCATACCGGTAGGAGGTGCAAGAGGAGGAGGAGGAGAGGAGGAGAACGGCAGGAGAGGAGGACGCAAAGAAGAGGGGAAATTAGAAAGAGATACTAAAGCAGGAAGTAGAGAGAAGAGGAGGAAAGGAGGAAAGGAGGGGGAGAGAGGAAGAGGAGGGGGGGTCAACTCTCTTTCCTGCGAACACTTGGAGAGTTGGGTGGTAAGTTGTTTGAAGGTCAGAGGAGAATGAGGCCACCTGAACGCGTTTACAACTGCAGATTAATGAGCACAAGCACACTTGTTGCTTGATCCTTTTGTTACTATTTTTTTAAGGGTTGGAGGTGATGGGAAACAATGTGTGGTGGGGTGGGAAGCAGGTTGGAGCAACGGTGAGGAAGGAGGTTTAAGTTAATCTGTTGTGGGCCTGACTTTTCAAGGTTGCTGGGTGTTGAGGTTTGTTAACAAGATCTCACATGACTCAAGATACGAAATTGTTGATTCCAGTAGGATTTCACTCTCTAGCAGAAATCCCCGCCGTTTTCAACAATTTATGTTCCATTTTTCTTGGTCCCAGACAAAGTAAGTGAGTTGCGAATTCATTTTTTGGAGACTGTAGTGGAAGAGGCTCTTCCAGGTGAGTTCGAGTTAGTTATATTCATCGAGACTCTTCCTCCCCCTCCATGGCCGTGATGTCCCAATCCTCCATCACGACGGCATCCCAATCCTCCATCATCATAGCGTCCTAATCCTCCATCACCACGACCTCCTTGTCCACCCCCTCCTTCTCCTCCTTGTCTGCCTCCTCCTCCTTCTCCTCCTCTTCCTCCTCCTCGTCCTTCTCCTCGTCCTCCTGCTTCAACGACGCCGCTTCTGCAACCTCCACGCCTACCGTAGCCGCTAGTCCCCTCCTAATATTAGAAGAGAACATCTGGTGGGGACATTGTGACCTTTTTGCTATCGAGTTGTACCTCGAATATGATACTATTGGTGTCCTTGAAGACAATCTGGGGTTAACACCCATGTACTTCTACGCTTTGTGCGACGATGTGGATGGTGGTTATAAGGATCACGAGGTTGTTTTTCAGCGATGGTCGGACCTTGATAGGCAACATGCCAGAGTTTGTGCTCGCTCCCTCTTCGCAGAAGGGATTTCAGTTGCCGCGGCGACAAGTCACATCGTGGATTACATCGATCGCTTCCTCGTAGGAAATTGAAATTCAGCAACAGTGACGGGAGATAAAATTGTGGATTATTACAGACGCGTGCAGCTTTGGAACCAGGACCAAGTCGTACTAACACTCTACACAGCAGCCCTAAAAGAAGGTGGAGTAATTAGGGCTCTATTATTAGCTTGACAGGAGTTCACAAATGCCTCTTGTTCTGCTCATCTGCAGCGGTTCGTTGGAAACGTGGAAGTTGAAAGTCAGCTGGTCGATCTTGTTGAGCAGTTCGTCCACACGCAAGTTCACTTTTTGCAAACTAAGTGCGACAATATTGTTTTTGCAATCATATATATGGACAGCAATCTGAGTTGTGTTCTTCGCGGACGATAATACTTCTGTCGCGGAGCGAGAACGGTACAACGGGGTGCTCGACGACGTTTTCAATATGTTTACAATTGTCTTTTCCGCTAAAGCGGGTTGCAGACTTGGCGTGAAGAGTGTTTCCCTCAACGCCTCGGGGATTGCATAGTGACTTTTGTGTCACTATTCAGACCACGCTAAAAGTTGTGTAGCGTCTCGCTTACGACAAAATGTTATTGGACGACAGTCGCGTGAAGAAATCCCCAACAGCCTCGGACATAAGAGGAAGGGAATTGGAAAGAGAAAATTGAGAAGAATAACTTTTGTGCAATTTTACACTGCAGGGCTCATTGTATTTTGGATAGGTACTTGTTGTTGGTCGCAGTGGATCATAGACACCACATATGGAGAAAAGGAGAGTAAGAAAGTGAGTGAGAGAGTAAGAGAGAGAGGGAGAGAAGGAGACACGCATACACGTACAAGAAGTTGCTTGAATGTGTGTCCAATTGTGGTATGGGAGGCATCAAAGAGTTACATATGGGACGTTGGACCCGGTTTCCAGCACCAGTGATTTTTTAAGAACGCATCTAAAGGTTACTTTTTCTATACTTCTCTCATGTATTCTCCTAAGGGATGTTGGGCCCGGTTCCTAGCATGTGCTGCTCCCAACAAATAGATCGGAGTTGTTTTACAAAAAAAAAAAAATTGGCTTCAATGGTCTCAATTATATATTTTTTTACTCACTTTTCTCAAATAGAATACGCCTTTGAATATCAGGTCTGGGCGTTATATTTTGAATGTTCCATAAAGCATACTGCCTTGTAGAGGGAGTATAAACGGGTTTTAAAGTGCGAAAACATGGGTATATTATCTATATATAAGTTTTTGAAAAGACATAGGGAGGGGTTTTGATGTCCAAAGGCTCGGTTATGGTTTGATTTTCTTGCTTTAGTTTTTTATCTTCGAATTTGTAAGAAATTTTGAGGTAACTCTCAGCCAAAAGTTCGTTGCAATGCAGTTCTAGACGACATATTTTTTAACTTTTTTTTTTGGGGGGGGGGAGGGGGCTTACTGAATACAATATCCGGGCGTTTAAATCGAATATAACCTAGGTGACATGGGTTATCTGGTCGGATAATCTGGTCGGATTATCTTGTGGGATGATCGGAGGGTTTGATCATCCTGAAATCCAGATGATAAAGAAAAAGGCTAAAAAAAAGTGATATTGTGCATGCAAGATACAATTGAACTATGTTTCTATTTCATAAAAAACAAGATAGGGTATTGAAGGGTTGAGACGGGGTAAGATAGAGAATAATTAGAGGGTGAATGCTAGGATACCTGATCAGACGTCCGGGACCCCCATGACCGTCTGGGGTCTGTCTCTTATACACATCTAGATGTGTATAAGAGACAGGCCCATGGGGGTGCTAGTGTGTTTTTTTGTTTTTGTGTTTGTTTCTACAGCATGCGTGTGCGTGTGTGTGTGTGTGTGTGTTTGAGAGAGAAAGAGAGAGCAACAGCCCAGTTGATGAAGGGCCCGGAGACGATTTTTGTGAAACTGTCTCTCTCTCTTTGTTCGATCTTTCTATTGGCTTCCTTGACAAAATTGGAAGCGGTTGCCTCCAAGGGGTTGAATTGGAAGCCCTCATGTTAGAATGCATTGTGGGAGAGCGTTGTTTTTTCGCTTTTCCCTCCCCCACCTTCTAGGGAGGTGAAAAAATATGAGGGCTTGATTGAAGCCATTAGCAAGGTAGGAGAGGGTACACCAATTGTCCTTTTGAGGTCTAAAATGTTGATTAGTCAGTTGAAATTGCGTGAATTTTTTTTGTCAATAATATCTATTGGGGGTGTGATGCCTCCTCTCCCCGAGAGTGGACTACCGTCTCTCCCCTAATAGAACGGACAGTCATTACCGTTGTATCTAGACTGAAAATTACTTCATATCCATGGAGTGTGTAATACCGAAAATGCTCGTTCTATTCGGGGAAGATCGTACATCGTAAGGATCCAAGATCGACACGGACATACACTTTCGTCCTACGTACTGTCGCAGTACCGTCTTCCCATGAATAACGAGCCGGCGACACAGGTCGATTCAGATTACTCGAAGCTGGCAACAACAAGCACTCACACAAAACTCAGAGATAACGAGCCGACAGTACAGTTTGATTCAGATTACTCGAACCTGGCAATAAGCACTCACACAAAACTCGGAGATAACGAGCCAGCAACACAGTTAAATTCAGATTACTCGAAGCTGGCAACAACAAGCGCCCACACAATTCGATTCAGATTATTCGAAGCCGGCAACACAGTTCGATTCAGATTACTCGAAGCTGGTAACAACAAGCGCCCACACAAAACTCAGAGATAATGAGCCAGCAACACAGTTCGATTCAGATTACTCGAAGCTGGCAACAACAAACATCTTCATTCCGCTCAACCCGCAACACATTTCGATTCAGATTACTTGAAGCTAGCAACAACAAGCGCCCACACAGTTCGATTCAGATTACTTGAAGCCGGCAACACAGTTCGCGTCAGATTACTCGAAGCTGACAACAACAAGCGCCCACACAAAACTCAGAGAATACGAGCCAGCAACACAGTTCGATATAAATTACGCGAAACTGGCAACAATAAACACCTTCATTCCGTTCAACTGCATCTACCAGCAAACTTGTTTGTCGCACACTTTACACTAGAACATTCCGAATACACACGCATGCACACTCACTCACTCACACGAGTTGACTTGGCAACTATGACTGCCTCTCACTTCCACTAACACACGCTAACATCAACTACTACTACTATTGATATCCACGACGCAGCCCCCTTCTCCTTCAGGCGAACTGCAGACCACCTCGCACAAGACGCTCTAGCAGTGCTTCCACAATGTTGGAAGCAGAATGTGTAAATGTCTCTTCGATGCTCTTTTATTCATACTTGGTCTTGGCTTTGCTCGATGGTGTCGGGCTCAGGCCTGGATGTGCATTGGTCCCCTTGGCACGACTGATTGGATACCTTAAACAACGGGACTGGGGACGACTGACTCAGCTAGGTAGGACTAGGACTGCCCTTTGCTGAATGTGCTAGGACTGCCTCTTGCTGACTGTGTCACGACTGTCTTTCGCTGACTCATTTATGGACTGACCCAGATTCATTCTCTGCTACATAAAGGAACACTGTAGAAACTATGATCTACGACAGACCTACGACCTTTCGTTGTACCAAGGCCGTTGCCTGGATTCGACCGAGAACCATATAAGAACAGAAGAACACCCGCTCCCCACCAATTAAGAACAAAAGAACACCTCCCTTTGTTGTACACCTCGACATCGTATTCTTTTTCGACTTACATTAATCGTGCGTGTTGTGGAGGCTTGCTATACTTGATCTGTTCGACTTTTCTAATCTATATGTCATATATGTGTATGTGTCCGTGGTTGGTAATTGAAATATTTGTTACTCAGACCAAGAATCCAGAGGATTTGGTCAGCTGGTCAGCCTGGTCGAAGACGATTGACCTTGGAGACTTCAAGAGGCTTTGTAACAAGGTGAGGTAAAAAAACCTGTCTTGATTTTTGTTACTCGTTAAGGACTGGTGTGCTATAGATGTTGATTATGCTGGAGGTCGATTCCTGTTTATATAAATATATTCATCTAGCAGTGAACTTGGCCAAGGTAGTAGTTGTCGGGTGAAAAAAAGAAATAAGGTATTTTTTGTACTTTCTCACTCTTTATGAACCCTAGGCTGCGGATGCCTTTCTGAGGGAAAACCCTTTTGGTGTTATTTTCATGCTTATCAATCAGAAAGCATGAATCCTGTTATTTTGATGCTTATCAATCAGAAAGCAAAATCATGCTCGAATTTGTTTTTTTTTGTCGATGGGAAGGTTTCACTTACCCCACCTGGTTTCTTCATTTTAACCATGGCTCCCCCCCCCCTCCGCCCTTTCCAACCATCAATTACAAAGGCCAACAACAATAAATGATAAATGAAATGAAGTGCGTCATAATTCCTTGTTTGTTCGCAAGCTTCCGCCATCTTCCTGTGATTACTACCTTCTTCCCCCGAACATGATTAAGTCACTTCTCTGTTGCATCTTACACTGAACGGTCAGACATGTGCGGCAATAATGACTGTACATTTTTTTTTTTTTTTTTTTTTTTAGTTCCTTATGGTCCTGGCTCCATATCCATCCTGGGGAGCGTCAATTCGCATTTTGTTGATCACCATTCGGGTCCTGCCAGGTCACCCGGTAGGTACCCTCGTAGTCTTCATGATTGTGGCTGGTGTCATTTCTTCCACCTCAGTTTGTTGTCAACTATCTATGCCACCTTGCTGTTTGGTGTCATGAAACTCGTGTCCGCGGGGGTCGTGGGGAGAGAGGGGGTGAGGGGGTTGGGGCGGACTGTGGCCCGACAATTGC